CTTGGGTCCCTGCCATTCACACGGGAGTCCTAAATTAGGTTCTGGGCTCCTGGTTGCAGCTTGCTCCAGCTCCTGGCTGGGGCAGGAATTTGAGGAGTGAACCAGCAGATGGATGATCTCTCTTTGTCTTTCTACCTCTCAAAAAAAAATTAAAAATTTAAAATAAAATTTTAAAAATTGAGATATTATTTCACATATCACAAAATCCATCCTTTTGAAGTGCACAATTCAGTGGTTTTTAGAATAGTCACATGGTTATGCAGTCATGACCACTATCTAATTCCAGAACATTCTCATCATCCCCAAGAGATACTCAGTACCAACCAGCAGCCTCTCCCAGGTTCTCCTCCCCCAGCCTCGGGCAGCCACTCATTTGCCTTCTTGATCTAGAGCTTTGCCTCTTCTGAACGCAGCTCATCAATTTTAACTCCACGGGAACCTTGAAAAGCTGCCACGTGAGAAGAGACTTCACCACAAAGCAGCTGAGGGCGTGAACTCTCATCTCACTGCCCAGCCTCAAAGCCGGGTTCCCCGGTCATCAGCTGGGTGACCTTGGGCAGACAACCGAAACTCTCTGAGCCTGAAGGCTGCATGCATCACTACATCTGGATGTGTCGCCGGCGGGGCCCACGCTCAGGTCGTCGCTCCCTGTCTCTGAGGAGGACACTCGGGCACACAGGGGTTAAGGGGTGTGCCCAAGGCCACACAGCTGGCGGGTGGCTGGGCCCCAGGTCTCCTGACTGAGTCCTCTGCCTTTTCCATGACACCGCACTGGCCTAGCTGCTCTCAGAGCCAAGTTTCTTATGAGCAAACCAAGGCTCTGTGCCAGGCAGGAGAGAGGGGAGGGTGGGATCATAAGATCATCTCACTGAAGGGAGTCGTGGTCCCAGGCGGGCTGGCCTTGCCGGAGCGGCTGACTCAGGCTGGTGCGGTCCTGCCGTGACGCTTCCAGCTCCCCCTCTGTGGGCAGAAGGGCGGACGAGGGCCATTTCCAGGCAAGCAGAACCCTCCTCTGGAGCAGCGTGCCTTCCCCACTCCAGCCGCACAAGCCCTCCCTGCCCTTACACAACTTTGTGAAGGGACAGACAAAGCGGCCCCAGACAGTCACTGAGTTCCAGCCAGCCCTCGGTTATGACCAGTGATGCTGAGTGGGGAAGAACATCTTGTTTTAAGTTCTGGTAGAAATCAAAAAGTGAGTCAGAACAGGAGGGTGGAGGGTCAGGAAGACCTACGACCAAACCTCGGTTCAAGCAGTCCCCAAGGAAGTCACATCGGTGCAGGCAGGCCACGAGCTTCCTGAGCCAGGCACACCTCCTTTAGTTGTCACAATAAACACATGGCAGGAAAGGACGTTCATTCCCACTGCACAGACGTGGAGACTGGCTCAGAAACATGTAAAAGAGGCCCCAAGCTAGAGGCACAATTCAGAGGTGAACCCAGGGCTGTCTGATCCAATAAGCTGCAGTTGTAAGCCTTGGGCCACGCTGGCGTAGAGATGGGGCTAGCACGGTTCACCCTGCACGTGGCTCGGCCCATGGTACTGCCCCATGCCAGCATGTCTACACAAGTGCTGCTGGGGGCTCCTCCCCACCCCGTCCACAGCTCCCCCAGATGACAAAGTACCAATGACCTCCCACCTCCTCAGCCACAGGTGACAGGCTCAGGAAGGGACCCAACTCCAGACCTTTGGGACAATCAGATCTCTCTGCTGGAGACTGGAATTGGTACCCAGAAACTCCAGTGCATCGATAACAGGGACGGGCACTCACGGTGCTAACCAGGGGACTCTTGGAGGACATGGGCCAGGGGGCAGTGGGGGAAGCTGGTGCAGAGAGGCTCATGGGAAAACAAAACGGGCTCCACGGGAGACCCTGAGGCCGCAGTGTCAGATGCTGGGTTCCTTTTGATGCACCTCTTTCTGTAAATCTGATACCTCTCTCTCTTTGTACCTAGCTAGCTATGTGGGCATTTTTTTTTTTTAAGATTTATTTATTTATTTGAAAGTCAGAGTTACAAAGAGGCAGAAGCAGAGAAAAGGAGAAGGAGAGGGAGAGGGAGAGACAGAGAGAGGGGTCTTCCATCTGCTGGTTCAGTCCCCAGATGGCCACAATGGCTGGAGCTGTGCCAATCTGAAGCCAGGAGCTTCTTCCTAGTCTCCCACGTGGTTGCAGGAGCCCAAGCACTTGGGCCATCTTCTACTGCTTTCCCAGGCTATAACAGAGAGCTGGATCGGAAGTGGAGCAGTCGGGACTCGAACTGGTGCCCATATGGGATGCTGGCACTGCAAGCAGCGGTTTTACCTGCTATGCCACAGCGCCCCCCGACATGGGCTTTTGCAATAGGAATATAAAGTGTCCCTAGCATGACAATCAAATCCACTGCTCCTTCCTAGGGGGTGTCAGACAGACAGGCGGCCTCTGGAACTAACAGAGGCAGCCCCTGCCTGCTCCCAGACACTGTAGCAACTTGTCAAATTGTTTACCCAACTGTCACTTTCCAACCCAAAGCCCAGCTGTAAGAAGCCTGCACCCTCTCCCCTGGGTCTGGGTACACGGACGCGGAGGGCCCTGGCTGGGGTTTCAGTCGTTCTAACACAGGAGCATGCCGTCTGCTCACGGCCTCAGACGGTGCTAGGCAAGACCGCCATCATCCTCCCTCCCTTCCCCTAGGGGCTAGCGCTCCCTCCCGCCAAGGCCATCAGAGATGGTATCTTAGTACCTTTAACTTATGGCTTCTTTGCTTATTTACATTCAGCCCACGTTTGCTACAGAGAAGGAAAATGCGGCTTGTGTGTGATACACACACATCAGGAATGTGCTCATCGTCTCTTCAACGGTGAGGTAACTGGTGTCGTGACTGTTCCGCCTGGACTCTGGCCAGGGTGTTGTGCTGCGGCCTGGGGCTATTTAGTGACAGTGGGGAGACTGTTAGGAGCACATCATTTCTTCCCCCTTTAAGATCACGGAACTCAGGCCCTGGAAATTCTCCATTTGACATTTTCTGGAACAGTCTAGGTCTCCATCACCAAGGACGCCTGTGGGGCTAAGGATGGTGTACAGAGGACAGGGCCGTCCTCTCATGGCCCACAGATGTCTACTTTATCTCTGATCACAGCTGGTGTCACTCTGCCTCTCTCCGGGTCTCCATGCCCAGCCCCTGGACTCCAAAGGTGGAACAGGGATCCATGCAAGCCCACTGGCTGTCGCACTGCTCACTCAGGTTAACTGGCATAGGGATGAGCCTATGACATACACATGCATTTTCTGGGACTTCAGGAAGTGGCTTTTACTCTTTCCTGCTGAGGGAGAGTGCAGGGCTGCTGAAATCATTTTGCAGTCACGTGGGATGGCTGCCTAAAGCCAACACCATGGAAGTAGGAGTGCAGGAAGAGAGGAGGAAGCTAGGTCAGCGCGCACTGTGAAAACCCTGGATGAAGCTGTGCCTGAAGCCCAGAAGCTTTTCCCCCTAGCGTGTTCATTTACAACAGCTGAAACATATCCCTCTTTACTTACACCAGTTGAGTGAGGTTCCTGTCACTTGCAGCTGAAGCATCCCTACAGAGGACAATGGTCATCCTGGTGGGCAGACTTGTGTGCACACGAGTGGTGATGTGACCCTTAACTACACAGCAGGGACCACGCACAGCAGGGACCACGCCAGTTCCCACTGTCTCCTCGGGCAGGCTCTTTATTTTTTGTTGTTGTTGTTAAGATGTATTTATTTATTTTAAAGGCAAAGTTAGAGAGAGAGAGAGGGAGGGAGGGAGGGAGGGAGAATCTTCCATCCACTGGTTAACTCTCCAAATGGTCCCAAAGGTTGGAGTTGGGTTGGTCAGAAGCTAAGAGCCAGGAGCTTCTTCCAAGTCTCCCATGTGGGTAACAGGGGCCCAAGGACCTGGGCCATCTTCTGCTGCGTTCCTGCACATCAGCAGGGAGCTGGATTGGAAGTGGAGAAGCCAGGACATGGACTGGTGCCCGTATGGGATGCTGGTGTTGCAGGTGGCAGCTTTACCTGCTATGCCATAATGCCATGGCTAGGCATTTTCTAAGTAACTCGGTGACATCGCGCAGGAAGAATCCTGACTTCTCACCAGCTTTGAGTTGCCTGCCTTTGGTGACATCGAGATGAATCTACTGACCCCTGGATCAGGGCTATTTGAACCCCATGGAGCTGGAGTCATACTGAGCTGTCTGTGTACTGCGTGGCTCCCTATGAGAATGGTGATGCACCAAACACTGATGGGACCCAGACTGTGTGCTAGGCCTTGAGAAAAATACTCAGGAGAGACAGGACAAGGAAGATGCGGTTCCTACCCTGACAGTCGAGAGGGAGGCAGACAGGCAGACAGCTGCATGCAAAGAGAGACACAGAGTCAGGGGGTGCAGAACAGCTGGTCCTTGCTGGCCTGGGAATGAAGTCAGACAGGGTTTCCCAGAGGATGAGAGCCTGAAGGGCAGAAGTTACTCCAGCCAGGGAATCAAACAGGGAGGTACAGGGGTGTGTTCCAGGTGGGGGAGGAGCAGGTGCAAAGGCCCTGGGGGGAGGGGGCAAGTGCGGTGCCCTCAGCGAGCACTTCAGGAGCTGAGCACAGGGCCCGAGGAGGAGGCCAGAGCTGCGGGTCTGTCTGCAGGGCTGAACAGCCCCAGGGGTCCACCCATACTCAACACACTGAGCTCACCAGCAAACGCCATCACTGTTCAAAGCCCAAGTTCAAAATCTGCAATGCCAAAGCCACATGGAAATGATTTCTAGATTACTGCCCGTCATCCAGCAGTCGATAAGCACACTTTCTCTTATTCGGAAAATATGAGATTTCAAAGCATAAAGCAGTAAAACACATTACTTATGCCCCAAAGCTATGGGTGTCATTTTTAAGTCTAGGAAATAAGAAGTCTGAGCTCTAAAGTAGCAGAGTGATGTAAGCCCAATTATGCTCCCTGCCCCCCACCCCACACCCCACACCCCACACCCTGCAGCTTGGCAGAGGCCTGAATCCTTACCTGGAGGTCAAAGAACTTGCTGTAGCGCCGGTAAATGGCTTCAGTGGAGCCGCTGGACCACGTGACCCGGATGATGTAGACCTGGGGGCAGGACAGAGGACATGAGGGTTAATACCCGGGGGACTTTTCCATAGCCGGGACCCGGGGGAGCACAGGGTTCAGGGACAGAAAGGCCTGGGTTTGAATCTCAGCTTTGCCAATGACCAGCGCGATGAGTGACTTGTTCTGAGCCTCAGCTTCCTCTGCAATAAAATGGGCACAATAAGCCCCCATTCTGGAGCTGCACAAAGGGTTAGACATCAAGTACAGGAAGCATCAGCAGTGTCAGCTCCGCAAGGATCCCTCACGCCACTCTAAACTCAGAGAGCCACGGGCTGCCGGCTTTGCCAGTCATTCCTAAAACCTGGACTTTCATCAGAAGTTCTGGAGACCTGCAGTTCTGGGCCATCTTAGTATTTTCCACGGGCTGAATCTCACACTCTCTCGACCAATAAGGAACCAAGCCAAATTCATTTTTCCCTATGACCCAGTTTTCTCCATCTGCAAACTGGGTTAACAGCACCTGCTTCCTCCACCTCCCAGGACAGATATAAGCATCTGACAAAGGGAAGGATGGGGAACTGTTCTGTAAACCTCAGGCCATTCCAACTTTTCAAAAATGACATTTATTTTCATTTTTTTGAAAGGCAGAGAGAGAGAGAAAGCTCCCATCCACTGATTCACTCTCTAAATGCCAGCAACAGCCAGGGCTGGGCCAGGCCACAAAGTCAAGAGCAGGGAACTCAATCCAGGTCTCCCACATGGCTGGCGGAGAATCAGGTACTGCAGCCATCATGTGCTGCCTCCCAGAGTGTGCACCAACACAAAGCTGGGTTGGAAGCTGAGCAGCTGGGACTTGAACCCAGGTACCGTGATATGGGATGTGATGTCTTAAGCAGTGACTTCACTATCGTAACCAGGAGCATGCCCCCAATTTCCCCACTTTGTCAGAAGTGATGACCCTGCAGGAGACAATACACTGGCAACAAGTTCAGGCGAAATGAGATGATGCTGGAGGCCAGAGGCCCCTGGTGGCTCTGGGCCCTTAAGACCAGCTGGACACTTGGGGGCTAATGGACTGGCACACCTGCCCCCCATTCCTGGCTTGCAAACACTACTGTTCTGGGAGATTTGCAACCATTCAACACAAACAACAGTGCTTCAGAAAGTTCATGGAATGCATATTAGGAAAAAGTTATGCATGGATGACAAAAACTTTGTTTTCATCAATTTGTCTTTTTGTTCCATTTTTCATGAATTTTTTGAAGTTGCCTTATACATATGCGAAGCTCCTTGGAAATGGAGAAAGGCTGTGTAAACACCAGGACTCGGTGCGGTCAGAGGCTTGGGGGTCTCCACAGGCAGAGCTCCTGTCCTCCACAAGCTAGGTTAGCTGGAGAGGACAACACATGCGTAAGGGAAGATAACTAACTCAGGGCAGTGGCCACTCAGCCCTGATTACTCTTTCTTCCAACCAAAGCACCTTGACTTGTCTCCTGGGCACCTCCTTTAGCCCAACCCCTTAGATAGAGAGGTGGTATATTCATCAACTGTTGTGATTGGCTGAAGGGTGGACATGTGACCTGAGCTGGGCCAATAAGAGTCAGCCCTGGAACTTTAGCTCCAACCCTGGAGAGGAAGAAGCTTTCTTCCCTTGAGGCTACCAGGCTGTTAGGCTATGGGGCTGCTAGGGGCCATCTTATCAACACTGGGGAAGCACCTGCTTGAGAACAAGGGTGCTATTAAGAGATTCCTTGGGGCTGGCGCTGTGGCACAGTGAGTTAAAGCCCTGGCCTGCAGTTCCAGCATCCCATATGGGTGCCGGTTCTAATCCTGGCTGTTCCTCTTCCAATCCAGCTTTCTGCTGTGGCCTGAGAAAGCAGTAGAAGATGGAACAAGACCTTGGGCCCCTGCACCCACGTGGGAGACCCGGAGGAAGCTCCTGGCTCCTGGCTTCGGATAGGCTCAGCTCCGGCCATTGCGGCCATCTGCGGAGTGAACCAGCAGATGGAAGACCTCTCTCTCTCTACCTCTCTCTGTAACTCTGTCTTTCAAATAAATAAAATAAATCTTTAAAAAAAAAATAAATTCCTGTAGCCTGCATTGTGGTGCAACAAGTTAAGCTGTCTTCGAATCCCAGCTGTTCCACTTCCAATCCAGCTCTCTGCTAATGCCCCTAGGAAAGCAGCAGCAGATGGCCCAAGTGCTTGAGCACCAGCCACTCATATGGGAGACCCAGGTGGAGATCCAGGCTCCTGGCTTCAGCCCAGCCCAGCCCAGCCCAGCCCAGCCCCGGCTGTTGCAGCCATTTGAGGAGTGAACAAGTGGATGGAAGATCTCTCTCTATCCCTGTGTCTCTCTTTCTCTATGTCACTCTGCCTTTCAAATAAAATAAATCTGAGAGGGAGAGAGAGAGTCCTGAAGACACGGTCTGACCCTCACATTTAGCTCTACTTGAAGCTAAATCTACTCCTGTACAGTCCAGTTTCCTGGACAATAATTATGTCTCAGACCACACCCACTCTCTTGAGTTATTTTTGGAGCCAGTTTAAGTTGGGTTTCTGACACACGTCATCTAGTCTTGATTGACACAGGAAGGGGAGGCAGAGCAAGACCTCCCAACCTTGGAGTCATCACAGGATATCTTGACGGACATGCAGGACTTAGACAGCAGGAGACAGGGGGGAGGCTGAGGGTGGAGGAGGGAACAAGACCCGCTCCGGAGTGGATGGGTACTGTACTTGGCAGTGATTTGCAAAGTTTGCAGAATCCCTTTTCAAATGAGTTTTTTTTTTTTTTTTTTGACAGGCAGAGTGGACAGTGAGAGAGAGAGACAGAGAGAAAGGTCTTCCTTTGCTGTTGGTTCACCCTCCAATGGCTGCCGTGGCTGGCGCGCTGCGGCCGGCGCACCGCACTGATCTGATGGCAGGAGCCAGGTGCTTCTCCTGGTCTCCCATGGGGTGCAGGGCCCAAGCACTTGGGCCATCCTCCACTGCACTCCCGGGCCACAGCAGAGAGCTGGCCTGGAAGAGGGGCAACCGGGACAGAATCCGGCGCCCTGACCGGGACTAGAACCCGGTGTGCCCGCGCCGCAAGGCGGAGGATTAGCCTAGTGAGCCGCGGCGCCGGCCTCAAATGAGTTCTTACTAGGATGCCCACATTCAAAACGGACAAAGGTACAGCAGCCTCGGGGGGCTGGAGCCCGAGCCTCACTAGCATCATGGACTTACAGGAGAGGACTTGCTGGGTGCGATGAGAAAGAGAGAAATCAGGACAGGACACAGGGTGGCAGCTCACTGGCAACAGCGTGTGCAAAGCCAATGCTGGTTTGATTTCAGTGAAGCACAGCACCACGGGCAGGACCTGGGCTCCAGAGCTCAGAAGGTCTAGAGTCACACAATTGCCTGACTCTTGGAGCCTCCTCTTTCTTATCTGTCAAATGGGGTCATCAAGCCCATCTTACACAGAGTCATGATAATTTTAAGATCTGAGCTGCTGGTCCGACAGAAAACATTTCAAAAAAATTGTTGTACCCTCTGCCCTGATTCCTCCTGTGTCTGCCCCAACCCTGTTCATGAACATAGTCTGTTCCAATACCAGGGCGTGGGCCTCCCAGCTCACTCTGTCTGCTCTTCAAGCTCATGGTCCCAGAGAGCAGGCAAAGTGTCCCATGAAAGGAGAGCTGTGTCTACAAAGCCGTCGGAGCAGTCAGCAGTCGAGGGAAGTTTCATTCAGATGGAAGACCTCAAATCTGCATCTGTGGGAGTCCATGGTAGAGACCCTGCATGGTTCTCCCTCAACCATTCACCCATGTCCTCAGTGTAGAACATTCAGTAAGCTGGGATACAGGGGGTGCGAGACCGACACAGATCCCATCGTTAGAGAGTGGCAGGGAGCAGCAGCCATGCCTATAATCACACATTACAGACAGACCCAAAGCACGATGGTGGTGATGGGGGCGTGGCCACACAGAGGCTTCTGAGCCACAGAGGGAACCTTGGCTTTTGTCGCTCCCCCTCTTCGTGGAGGAACGACACTAAGCCCTGCCTAGGCTTCATATCCGAGTCACGGCACCATTATGTCGCTCCCCGTCTTCGTGGAGGAGCGACACTGAACCCTGCCTAGGCTTCATATCCGAGTCACGGCACCATTATGTCGCTCCCCCTCTTCGTGGAGGAACGACACAAAACCCTGCCTAGGCTTCATATCCGAGTCACGGCACCATTATGTCGCTCCCCCTCTTCGTGGAGGAACGACACAGGACCCTGCGCTGTTCTTTCGTCTGCTCGGCCCTCCCCGGGTTTGCTGCTGGTTCTTCCCGGGTTGGCTACTATCCCTTCCACCTCCGTGGAAGGGCAGTTCCCCCTGGCCGCATTCCCCACTTCCGCAGGGGAGCGGCACACCGCCGGCCGGCTTTCTCGGGGGCTGCACGGGTTCCCTTAGATGTTCCCCATAGATGTTCCTGGTGCATGCCGTCTCTCTCCTCCTTTATAGTCCTCCTCCGCCAATCCTAACTCGGCTGCCCACACGCCGAGTACGCTGCTCTCCAATCAGGAGCAAGTCCTACAATTTATTAGTTGAACTGGAGGCAGCTGTGCGGAAGCTGTTTACTTCTCTCCCAGCGCCATATTGTGGGAGAGCAGATGCATAGAATAAGTCTTAATTCGAGTAACTTAGTCTAGTCCGGATTGCTCCCCACAGATCCCCCTTTCTTTTTATTTTTTAGCGTTGATACGCGCCTGTCTTCGGTGTCCCGCGGCACACACTCTGTTCTACTTGCTAGAGTTGCCACAGGCTCTTACAAGTCCTATCAATCAGGAAAACCGAATCCGGGTCCTCTCTTCGCCATTGTGAGGAGGTTTTTAGGCGCTGATGCGTGCCTGTGTTCGGTGCCCTGCAGCGCATGCTCTGCTCTGCCCGCAGGGGCTTACAAAACCTATCAGGCAAACCGAATCCAAGCCTTCTCATTGCCTTATTGTGGGGGAGACTTATTAGTGTTGGTTCGTGCCTATCTTCGGTGACCTGCAGCTCATACTTTGGTC